ATCTATATTAAATTATTGACATTATGCAATACAGAAACTTTTGAAAAAATAGTATATTTTACATAATAATTAGCTCAGTGATTTTATTATGCTGAGAAGGCACTGGTTATAAACCATGCAGAAAGCATTAGGACCAAATAGGCAAAATAATGGATTTGAACATATGGTATATGCTGATGTTAACACGTATGCATTACTCCCATTAATGCCAGTATGAATTATTTGTGCACATTGAGAAAATATTTTTGTTATGCTGAATATTATTTTCACCATAACAAAAATATTTTCTCCAGAAATTATATAACTCTTTATTGTCAATAACATGCAACTCTTGCTCCAAACTTTAATATTGTGGAATTCTTAAAAAAATAAATCTCATCTTTTCACATGTTAACATCAAGCAAAGAATATAAGGAGATGTTTATCTCATTCCATTGAACTTCCTCTTCTTTGAAGGGCACTTATCTAATGAGTGGTGCTCTCTCTCAGAGTCCAGATCAAAAAGCCCAACTACATAATGCACTAGATTAAGTTGCTACCTGGTTTTATTCTAAACTTCTTTAAATAACTTAGTATACATGGAGACTTGTAATGACAACTGAAGAATTTGTCTAAAACTGACAACTGATTATACCCAGTGAATTAAGATGGATCTTGGCAATGTCAACCAGATGGGTTTAGAATTGAGAGCTATGTTTGGAACTTTAACATAATATAAGCATAGGAAATCATCATGAAAGTTCTTAAGTACACAATTCATGCCTGTAAGCCAGCAGTCACAAATTGTATCTACTCAGCATTAAATAATAAAATGGTAAATATCAGTTATGGAGCTATAGTCTGGTCTGCTAATTAAATTAATACATTACAAGAGAAAAAGCAGATGAATAAACACTATGCTAGTGTATTACTACTATGCAGAACTGTCAGTATTCTGCCATCAGCCGTATGACTCTAATTTGATTCACTGTTTGGTTATTAGAATATAATGTATATTAATAAAAATAATTAAATGCCATGCAGTTTTGAATTGCTCTTTCATTATGTTCCTCTTTCAGTAAGCAAGTATATAAAATCAAACTCCTTTGACCCATGTTTGTGAATTATTCTTATTGGACTATTTAGTAAGTATATAATACAATGTACTGCAGATTTTATTAAATCTATCTATCTATCTATCTATCTAAATTAAAATGTAAATTCACATGATAAATTATACATCTTATATGTTCTGAAACAATATTTAGCATTAATATAGCTCTTTTCATCCACAGAACTCAAAGCGTGATTTTTTACATGTATAATTCTTTTATGTTTTCTAAACTTTTTATTAAGGCAAAGTTACAATAACATTTTTTTAAAAGTAGCTTTAATGCAATAATAAGATTGTGGTAACAAGCACTTAAAAAATAACAACATTAAGAAGTTGAAGTGCAGGTCTCCACTAAAAAGTGCCTTTTGAAAAATGGCACTGTGAAGTTCCACATTAATGTGTGCCTCATTGCTTTCCATGTCATATCAGCTCTATTTACTATCTCCTGGCTCTGCAAAATCATCCTGGATTCTGACAGTCATGATAAATTCTTTCCATATCACACATCATCACAAGTGATAGAGGTTATGCTGACCAAGGCACAGATACACCCGTGCAGACCTACTGTATTAAAATTATATCATCAGATGATCCCATTCAAATTTAAGGATTTTCCCAAACATTAACTCAGCCTTATATCACAACTCACATAGCGGTATTTTATGGTATACTGTAAAACAATAATACATTAATATCTGTTTTATTTACCAAGGAAAGTAGGCCCAATCCTATTCCTCCCTAAATCATTAGCAAAATTCACATTGATTGCAATAGGACTGGATCCCTGTGATAGGCTCCAGGGAGGTCCCACATGTCTAGAGAGAAGAGACTTCACAAAAGGCTCAGGTTTAAACTCCAAACCTCTCTCTGGAGTTTATAAAAATAGATGGAGTTACAACTGCTTAAAACTGGAGTAATAAAGTAGTCAATCAAGTGGCCAAACTGCAAGAGAAGATGACAGTTAGGAAACCCTCTGCTGCCTATGAATAGAGCCCTACCAAATTCATGGTCCATTTTGGTCAATTTCACAGTCATAGGATTTTAAAAATCGTTAATTTCATAATTTCAGCTATTTAAATCTGAAATTTCACAGTGTTGTAACTGTAGGGGTCCTGACCCAAAAAGGATTTTTGCGGGGCTCACAAGGTTACTGTGTGTGTGTCGGGGGGGTTGGGGTATTGCTACCGTGACTTCTGCACAGCTGCTGGCGGCAGTTCTGTCTTCAGAGCTGGGCAGCTGAAGAGTGATAGCTGCTGGCCACAAGCCCAGTTCTGAAGGCAGAGCCACTGACAGCAAAAGCACAGAAGTAAAGAGGGCATGGTATGGTATTGCCACCCTTACCTCTGCACTGCTGCCTGGAGAGCTGGGCCCTCAGTCAGCAGACGCCACTCTCTGGCTGCCCAGCTCTGAAAGCAGCAGCGCAGAAGTAAGGGTGGCATGGTATCGTAGATCCACCCTTAATTCTGCACTGCTGCTGGCTGGGCACTGCCTTCAGAACTGGGCGCCTGGCCACCAGCTGCTGCCCTCTGGCCGCCCATCTCCGAAGGCAGTGCAGAAGTAAGGGTGGCAATACTGCGACCCCCCCTAAAATAACCTTGTGACCCCCTTGCAACTCCCTTTTGGGTCAGGACCCCCAATTTGAGAACTGCTGGTCTCCCCCATGAAATCTATACAGTATAAGGTAAAAGCACACAAAAGACCAGATTTCATGGTCCGTGATGTGTTTTTCATGGCCATGTATTTGGTAGGGCCCTACCTATGAGGTATTCTTAATTTATGTATAACAAAACACCTAAACCAAGAAAACTTACTTGTTTTGTTTTTTTAATGTGGAGGATTTATTTTTGGAGAAATCCTGGTTCATATTTTAGGGATAAACATTTATTTAAAAAAAATGTATGTACAAAATTGCTTTTCTTAAAGATAGAAGCACCAGTTAAGGGTCGAACAAAGATTCACAAGTCTAGAAAAATTATAAACCAAGAAATTAAAAGGCAACAATGTAAAAAATAAATAAGGTGGCTGTTAAAAGTAATTATCAAAACCTAAAGAACAAACGACACCGACAACTATGCAAATGAAGAAAAAGTAAAAACAGTATCTTATCGATCACAAATACTTGCTTCCTTAATTAGGAATTTGTGCTACAAGATATTGTCATCACAGCATTAGTGGCTCTGACAGCCACTAATTTGTCTACTCCTATATCCCATCCTAGTCTTTGACACCTTTCTATCTCTGGGCTAGGACAACTGAGTCTTCTACCCACTATTAGGTCCTTTATCCATAAAGCTAGGTAACCCATTTCTGTCCAAAGTGAATTCAAGCTCTACATAGGCTTTACAAGCTAGGAATCTCAATCAAAAGATGCACTCCAAACATGTGTCTCCAATACCCATGAGAGTCTGTACAGCAACCCAAATATACCACAGCAATAGCCAGAACTTCCCTTACAATCTTTTTTAATTTTACCCAACAATTGATATTTGTGGTCAGTCATACCAAAAATGCATCCTTTCCATTAAGGCAAGACCTTATCACTTACTTAATGCAATCGACTAGAGCAAACAAAATTATACAGTCAAGACAGATGAACATTTGAAATTGTATTGGCACTAAGCCTCTGATTCAATTGCAGCTGAATCAGCAGCTAACAACTATCTATATGAAAGAAAGCTATAATAAAATAGCAAAGTAAATAAAAACTGCTTATGACTGCATTTGGTTCCCTATTTGTTCACTAAATAATACTATCATCAATAATGAACCATGCACATTTCCACTTTTTAATATAGACCAGAGGTGAAAACTCCCACTGACTACACCGGGGCTATGATTGCACCCAGATATTTATAATCAACCTACATATTATTTGATATCCCTTTTTCAGTTTGACATATGCAGAATTATACCATATGTATACATGTGTATGCGTTGTGTGGTGTATTTAGAGCAACAATATTAAATAATTTCTTTGTCAGATGGACTTACCTTTTTTATAACTATCTGGACATCTGCCCTGTACAGCAAGAAAACTAAGGAAAGCTGAAAGTTAGAAATGGCCTGTTTATTTTATTTTTAATTTTACAATATATTTCATGTTCTTTGAATTTCCTGTGCATAATGATCACTACATAATTACCAGACTGGCCAAGTCATAACGAGGTCATTCTTCTCTAGCAAGCCACCAATTTCAAAGAGAGTATCACAGCCTTAATGCATTATAATTACACATATTTTCCTTTATTATGGGAAGGAAGTTAAATTTAAATTATAGGCCTCTGCAACCTTTTTAGTTTCTTAAACTTAAGATAGAGATAGTGTTATATGCTGATATTTTTGTGTCAATTCAACTTAGTAAGCTTTACAACAGCTATATAAAATTGACCTTCCCTTTCCCTCTCATTTGACACTCTAACAGGAAATCCAACATGGAGCTTTTTTCAGGATTCTTGCTGAAAGATGTGACCGCATCCTAGTTTTAGCATAACCCAGTGGACAAATTTGCTTTGTGCCACAGATGAACCCTTTTCACATCAGAATAAGGCAGAATATTATGGTAATTTAAAACACAGATAATGAATGGAGACATTCATATTAAAATATTTCAGAAGCTCTCAACTTAAGTTAAACTGTGCTGATTCTGTATTAGCATCTAACACTACAAGGCAAATGGAAGTTATAACAAAACACTTTTTCGAGAATTCTACCTGTGTGTGTTGCTGACTTCCTAATAAATATTACCTTCATAATCCAAGGATATTTTAGAGGGAACCTAACTCACACACATTTCTTAAGAGGTCCTGAGTTTCAGACGGTTTAAATATGAGTACAGTACATATAGAGCGGGGGGGGGGGAAATGGAAATTGCAATGCTTCTAGTATCAAGAGGAGTAAATGTACTTACTTCATTTCTAATATTTCTTCAAGCTGTTTTCTCCGCTCTATTCTGAGGTTAGCCAGATGTGCTTCTTTCTCAGCCAGAGACTGCTGTGTTGAGGCAAGACGGGCTTTGGTAGCATCCAATTCTTGTCTGGTCTTTTCCAGTGCATTCATCAGTTCTTCTAACTAAAAAGCATAGATTGTTTAAGTTCCATATTCTTCATAGCAAATAATATTTTGTAAACACAGAAAAATCATAGTAGGGCTGAATATAAGTGGAAGCATCGTTCAAATCCATTCCTACTTTTTACTGGTTAAAAAAAAATCAGTTCTTAAACACCAGGAAATGATCGAGTTTCCAAGAATCCATCTAGTCACCAATAACATTTATACAAACCATTGAACTAATGTACATTACCAAGAGCCCTTCAACCTGTGCCATTGCCATAAATACTTCCTACACCATTTAGTCTATGGAACGCATTATGGACCTGTGGTAGTAACTCTATAGTTCAGGCTCTAACAGCACTTCCATTATAAACTGATCTTGACACCACACACAACTTTCACCAAAAACAGCTCCTTTCAGACTTACATTTTATATGACAACTGGTGAGAACCTCTGATGAGTGTATGGTCAGAGCATGTGGAATAGGGAAAGAGCTAAGATTCTTACATTTGAACATCTATTTTTTAATTCATGGAATATATTCTCAACCTCAGCTCCGTCTTAGCAATTTTTGAGGAGATTTACCAATAAATATGAAATGCATTCATGGGGAATTGCTTACTGCAGGGATTAAAAAAAACATTAAAAAACTTTAAAAACTTTAAAAACTAGCAATTTAGAAAAAAGTGTAGGTTGTGTTATAAAAGTGACATAATATTAATTAAAGAATAAAACTCAACCTCTGCAGAAAGGAAAATATATATTACACTTGCCTGGCAGCAGCAGGACTGTCTTGTGGGTGGATCATTACATTTACAGAACTGTTAAGTCTATATGACAGGGTAGAAGGTCACTACATGGTCACTGCTAAAAAGCACATTAACTCCAGCATGGCTTCCCCTTACCCTTGGCACAGAAACTCAGCAAATGAGATAAGACTGGAGACTGCAGGTCAATCAGACTTGATGTCATCTTCAGGTTCCAATTTTGCATGTGTGTGAACAGAGAATCAGGCTTCCAGTACATAAAGACTAATGCAATGGTCCTAACTTGGGGTTTTCTCTTTGAATATTTTGTCAGAGTAAAACCATTTTGTATTTGCTATATGCACCTCCTATAAACACATGAGGAATAAAATACTTGAAAAGTAAGATTGGTCACTACAGATATTTTGTTGCTCTTTTCTTTCTTTCTCCCTACTTGTAATCTGCTAAAAATATAGTAGCCACTTTAGTAATCGCCACATCACTAACTACAGGCTGTGGTATACTTTGGGGTATAATGTGAAGTTTTATACTTTTTAAAGAGTTTTATGTGAACAATAGGTGGTAGAGTATTTCCCCAAGATCCTATGATTATATTTTTAGAGAAATTGTGACATGCTTCCTGTTTTGTTTTCTTACCCACCCACTCCCCTCTCCAAAAAATTAAAATTATATAAATTAACCAACAGCGGAGGAAAATATTAGATGCATTACATCAGACTAGCCAAAAAGTGATAGGGGAGGGAGCCAACTGGAATATATCCAATCTGACTGCTTTTTTTTTCTGTGCTACCATGTTGTTGATACTATGGAAGTCAAGCAAAAATGTCTGCTTTTGCTGGTGTACAGAAGAAGTCTGACAGAATTCAGCTATGGTCATATAATCAGCCTGTCTACAGAGAAAATAAGATGTTTTCCCCAAGTTCATTTTTAATTACTGCTTGTCTCTATGTTGTTATCTAAATACTACTACCATGCAATCAGCACATATAAATCACATACTTTTTTTTTCAAGTTGAGCAAATATTATGTTGCTTGTCTCCCACATAACAGCTTTGTGAAGCAGAATGAACACTATTGTATGAATCAAACAATAGTAATCAGACTCAAACATTATTTGAAAACTTATATATTACTTAACCCCTTTACCATAAGTACTGTGCAGCCATTCTCTATTGACATTCCATTGAGGTTGATGGGATATTAGAATGTGCCCGGTACATTCAATACATAAAAAGGCATGTTCTACTAGGATACCTAGAATTGTCCGGCTATATCGAAAGGACAGTTGATATGGATTTAATCAGGCTGCAACTTTATTATTAGATGTCTGGGACTACCTGGCAGATAAAAGTGTACAGTGTAGGCAACTCCATGTTCATTCAATCCACACTGCTACCCTTCCTCTGGCAAGACCGGACAATGTCCCTCCTGCTTAAGGTGCAGTGCGGTCATTAGCAACAGCAATAAATTGGTTAATACCTTTCAATATCTTTCCACCCTGCCCCTCAAAAAGTAAAACTGGTGAAATACAGGTATAAATGAAACAACAAAGAGAAATGATGTGAATCCTGCGACCAGTTCTGTGTAGGCGCAGAGTTACACTGATGCAGAGTCACTTGCATGGTGAGGACTTCACATTTCTTCGAAAATAGCTATTATTGCCTTTCCGCAGTGACTATTTCCTAGAAAAGTTATACTTGGGAAAATACATATTGAAAAAGAGAGATCTGCACTGTGACCTATAGAAAAAAAGAAAAAATGAACAAAAGGAAAACTAAGGATGAACACAAGCAAGGGGGAGAGGGGATTACTTGCAATAATTTATAATATTTTTGATCATATAATGTCAATATGTTACCATAAAAATACAAATAGGGTTTAATTTTCTACATATTCATATACAAAGGCACATACCTTGTCCCAAAAGAAGTCCAACTATATATAAAACTTAACTTAATATTTTTCTTGTTTTAATAGGATTATTCCCAAATCTCATCCTTAAATTTCTCCAAGCCCTGAATGCAGTTTTAGCTACTCAATTCACATTAATAATAAGTGCCAAGTAATTAAGTCCCCAATCTATTACTTAAAGTCAGTTGCATCTGTTAATAGTAACATCTGTAAAGATCCAGCCCTACAAACTGATTCAAATGCATGGACCCTTATTTCACAACAGTGACATCTATGTCAATGGCACTCTGGAGGTGTGGGCCTGTATGCAGTACAAGACCCTAAATTGGAATAACAGCATCACAGTAAGTTTTAAAATTTACTTTTTCCTTCTCCTGAAGCATTAGCCAGATTTGTCCTACTGTGTGTTGATAGACACCACAGCTCAAATCAAGTTTCCCATCAATCAAATCATTTGAGAATATTTTTAAAGCATGTAAAGCGATCATTATCTTCCAACTATTAATGTGCTGACATTTTTATTTACTTTTTACTTTATTTTAGAGAATAAAAAAGTCAAGTATATTTGTAAAAATATCTACACATAGAAGTGATGAGATTTTAAAGGTAGAGAGAAATTTTTTTAAAAGGTGAATAAAAAAACGGTTTAAGACCACGAATCACTAGCATGTGTAGACTCAAAAGCTATACATGTATTTACATTTTAACACAATATTTGCAAATCAGTTCCTCCTTCACTTTTCTGCCAAAACTTAAGTTCAGTGTTCTATGTTTCCCTACCTACTTATCTCACAAATACCTAAAGCAGCACCAGGATTTGATTGGCAGGCAGGCTGGTATCATAGAAATGTAGGACTGGAAGGGACCTCCAGAGGTCTTCTAGTCCAGTCCTCTGCACTCAAGGCAGAACTAAGTATTATCTAAACCATCCCTGGCAGGTGTTTGTCTAACCTGCTCTTAAAAATCTCCAATGACGTAGATTCCACAACCTCCCTAGGCAATTTATTTCAGTGCTTAACTACCCTGATAGGAATTTTTTTCCTAATGTTCAACCTAAATCTCCCTTGCTGCAATTTAATCCCATTGTTTCTTGTCCTATCCTCATAGGCTAAGGAGAACAATTTTTCTCCCTCCTCCTTGTAACAGCCATTTATGAATTTGAAAATTGTTATCACGTCCTCCCTCTGTCTTCTCTTCTCCTCTCCAGACTAAACAAACCCATTTTTTCCCATCTTCCCTCAAAGGTCATGTTTTCTAGATCTTTAATCATTTTGGTTGCTCTTCTCTGGACTTTCTGCAATTTGTCCACATCTTTCCTGAAATGTGGCACCAGAACTGGACACACTACTCCCGTTGAGGCCTAAACAGCTAAAAGTAGAGTGGAAGAATTACTTCTCATGCCTTGCTTACAACATTTCTGCTAATAAATCGCAGAATGATGTTTGCTTTTTTTGCAACAGTGTTACACTGTTGACTCATATTTAGTTTATTATCCACTATGACCACCAGATCCTTTTCTGCAGTACCCCTTCTTAGGCAATCATTTCCCATTTTGTATGTGTGCAACTGATTGTTCCTTCCTAAGTGGAGTACTTTGCATTTGTTCTTATTGAATTTCATCCTATTTACTTCAGACCATATCTCCAGTTTGTCCAGATCATTTTGAATTTTAATCCTATCCTCCAAAGCACATGCAACCCCACCCAGCTTGGTATCATTCACAAACTTAATAAATGTACACTCTGTGCCATTATTTAAATCACTGATGAAGATACTGAACAGAATAGGACCCAGAACTGATCCCTGCAGAACCCCACTTGATAAGCCCTTCCAGCTTGACTGTCAACCACTGATAACTACTCTCTGGGAATGGTTTTTCAACCAGTTATGCACCCACCTTATAATAGCTCCATCTAGGCTGTATTTCCCTAATTTGTTTATGAGAAGGTCATGCGAGACAGTATCAAAAGCCTTACTAAAGTGTAGCAGGAAGTGACTTTCAAATACCTTCTTAGAAAATGTATATGTGTGTGATTGCTAATGTCACAATCAAGATCACTGCCCCTACATATACGTTAAATATACACACTCACATTATATTATAATGTAAAGTATCAGACAACCTTAACTATAGGCAATGTTGCCAGCTACACCTGTAATACATTTACACTTCTAGAAAGGGAGAAAGATCAACCATAAGCCCATACCCTAACAACAGAACCTATTCACATCCCTGACAGGTTAAAATGATAAAAGATTATGATATGGGAGAGAACTAATCTATCACCATTTAACCCTAGTATTAGGGCTGCACAAAATCCCTGGCATTTGGTTTTAAG